TCTAGCGGTTTTACTTCGCGGGCTCGTGTTATGGTTTTTTCGAATTTTTGAGTCGAAGAAACAAAATGGCGGACGCCGAGGGCAAGTTTTCTTTTGTCACAGAAGGCGAACACGAGCTCATTTTAGGGAGCTCTCTTAACCAAAACGCAAAACAGGAATATGCCTTTCATACCATAAGATGTGAGTACAAAAATGTATTTCTGGGAAGTGGAAAATTTATTCTTTTGTCCGGAACGTCGAGCATATGTTTTTGACTTGTGTGGCGGGCGCTGTTTACTGTTTTTTGGCTCGGTTTTAAGTTTATAGTTATGGGAATACAATATTTGTATCTTGGATACACATAAATAAGGTGTATCAGTTACAAATTATTTTTTCTATATAATTATTTATTTAGGTTTTTAGGTATGAATTAATTAAATAATGATTTATTGCCTAAAAGTAATTTTAACTTTTAACTTTTATGTGTCAGCTGTTGTGGCCTAGTTCGGCTTTTAGCCTTCCTTTTCRTCGGGGAAGTATTTTATAGTTTTATTTCACTTTCTTTCGTTTACATAACCCTTTAGAATATTTAATTTTTAGAAAATTTCAAAAGTAAACTCAGGGGTATGATTCATTATTTACACCAGATATCGAAGATATCTTCTATCTTCATTGGCTATTTTTCCATTTATACGAGTACAATCTGTGAGGAATTCTGAGTAAACATTTAAAATGGGTATAAAGAAAGAAATAATACTAAAGGACCCCAGGATGATTTCAAGAGGTTGGCTGTTACAGTGGCCGCAGAGAGGGTGGAGAAGGTAAGGGGGTTCTTCAGACACCCCCTTTTTCCCTTTTCCCATACTAGTCTCTTATATTTTCCAATCTCAACCCCCCCTCTTTTCCTCCCCCCTCCCTTAAAATACAGTATTTACATGTAGCTTCTTCTTTAGATTTTTTATTCATTCCAATAATTTTTTAAAAACTTCCAGATAAAATAGGGTGACTAGCTACCCAATCCATCTGCATGTTTGGGACTGAAAAGATGACATTATTACAGCTGTTTGCATTACTATGCGGCCACCCCAAACACAAATCGCGTTGTGTAGTTTGCAATAGACTGCCGTCAATCAAACACCTCATTCTACTTGGATGTACTCAAACTCTTTGCAATCGCTTTAGGAACTTTCCTTCGTGATATCTGACTGAGAAAGTTTGATAGAAAAGCCAACTCACTGATCCAAACGTGTATAAATGGCATCAACATGAATGATTGACAGAAGTCTATTGGCTGCGTAGTAATGCAAACAACAGTAACACTAAAGAGAATCATAAAAGTGGTTTGGACATTTTCATAGTCATTGTGGATGGCAATGCTTGGACATTGATGCAATCACATTGCATCGCTAGCTGATTAGSGATGGCRGGATTGCCATTAACATGGTCATCCAAGCCACATGAAGATCTAACTATTTGCAGATGTAATTACAAAGACAGCACCTCCTCAGTTGTTTTCAGACCCTGAGTGTTGGTCCTGCCAAGGCTTGAACCATGACATCCKGCACAACATAATATACTGAGGATCTTAATGTTAGTGACAGTCAATCTCACTGGTACATTGCATTCAATTTTGATAATTCTATTATTTTTTCATTAGATGATTTCAAGCCTGCATCAGTTGATTCAACAAAAGCAAGTGAACTTGTTGTGGGAGATAAAAGCGAAGTTACTATAACAGTCCCTCATATCCAGGTATATACATAAAGTCCTACAAATGTAAAAAAACCTTCAAATTTTAGYGATACCCTGAAACAACCTCTGGGTTAATCAAAATCTGTGCACAGCCAACTCAGAGGTTGAATTGGAATATGGTATAGACGACTTTCATAATTCAGTTTTTTCTGATAAAGAAAATGAAGCCTGTTTACCAGAAACTATCAATGCTATTTGAGAAAATACTTCATGAAAACCATTTCCAGAAAATTTTGTAAAACTTGACTGAATACCAAAGAAGTTATGAAAGAAAGAAAATGGAGAGTTTTGTATGTATATATCACTGGAGGCCTTGGAGGCATTTTTTGGGTGCATTTTCAGAACTTCAAATGCTCACATCTTGTAAAGGATTTTTTACTTTAATTAGAAACTCACACGCCTTATCTAAATCGACAAGTAAAATGATTTAAAATGGTTTTCACTCCAAAAACATTGATTTTTAATGTTTATGCAAATTAGCAGCAGCCATTTATGAAAGTGGTCTATGTTGGGGTTTTTGATGGAAGAATTAAAYTGGAGAACCAAGTGAAAGACCTTGAATCAAGGCCTGGGAGACTCAATAATGCATTTAATTTTGTATTGTTTATAGGATTCTGGAGCTACAGTTTACAAAGGATCCAAGAGACCTTGCCCTAAAGAATTTTTATTAATTATTGACAAAAAGACACAGGTAGGACTACAGTGTGGTTTAAATTATTATTAAATGAATTTATGAAATGATAAAATTCATCACTGCATTCATGGTAACTAGAGAAATAAAAGGATAGCCAAAAGGTAAAATCGCATTGAAAAGGGGYACTTACAGCCACTCACATGCGCCCTCTGGCAATTTTTTCTGTCGTGACGAAGAAGGTTTTGGTGGGTGTCAATCACAAGGTGTTTCCATAACATTGTCGGAAAACACAAAACTATAAAGGCATGTGCCTATAGAATGTCATGGAAATGCCTTGATTAACGTCCACCAAAAGCTTCTTCGTTGCAACAGAAACAATTGCTAGAGCGGCRTGTGTGATTGAGAATGGCTGTAAAAACATGCAGCTGAAACATGAACTTACAGTACCAGCAATTTTATCTGAAACAACCTATAGGCTGATCTAAGT